TATCCTGGGGCTGAAAGAGGTCCCAAGGGTGCGGCTGTTCTCCGCATAAAAGGGAACGTGAGTTGGGTTAAGTACGTCGTGAGACAGTACGGACCCTATGTACTGAGAGATTAGTAAAATACAAATCGAGCGTCACGGTACGAGAGGACCTGACTATATGAACCAATGGTGATATTGAATTAAGATTCTTTCCTAGTTCTTTCTTAGCTAAGTTCATCCTAGTTAACTCCTGAATCCATCTTAAGGAGGAAACACGGTTTATTTCAAGTTTTACTTATTTAATCGAAAGGTAGACTACCTTTTAATAGAAGATTCATAAAAATCTTCCTTAAAGCATTTGCTTTCAATTTACAGCTATCTTCCTTATATTTAGATTTTTTATATAATAATATCACTTTCCATGATTTATCCTTCCTAAACTTTCTTATCTTGTCCCAAGTGCCTTCATTTAGAACTCGGCACGATTCAATTCCCCGAGAAACTCGATTCGACCCTTTATACTATCCTTCGGTATCTTATTACTCCATAGACCATATTATTCAATCACAATTTACTCTATATACTCTATAATATTAACGTCACTACATTACAAACCCCTTGGTGAGGTTCTTGAGCGATCGCTATCACTCCGAATCTCTAGGTGAGGTTTTATTCATTCGGATTTCTATTCAGTTCATCCTCATTCATATCTTACTTATTTATCACTCTCTACTACATTCCGAATCTCTAGGTGAAGTTTCTCTCTCTCCTTCCCTTTACTATTTAGTTATATTATTTTATTTATTTTCTTTCTTTCTCAATTATTCCTTTTAGACTACATAACCAAATCTATCAGTTTATAGGGGGGGTATTTAACTTTTCTTATTATACAGCACGTTCCCGTACCATAACTTTGTTATAACTTATCAGCTATTGAAATGAAAAAATCAATAAAATAAATTACCCTTAAGGATAATAAAAAGATATTAAATTAAATCTTCTCTTTAGCCGATTGATAGGCGATTTGTACAATCTCGATACAAATATTCACCGTTGTATGGTAACCAACGATTACTAACAATTCCAACTTCGGGAGAACAATTACAGTTCTCGATCTGTACTTAGATTAGATTTATATTGTATCTAATCATTGTATCATGTGTGTAGCCCTTCTCATAGGGCCATGTGTACTTGAAGGCAACATCAAAATGATGTTTTTGCTGGTTAAATATCACTATACCAACTTACAACAGCCATGCAACACCAAAGGAGAAGGTAAGATGAATGGGGTATTATCCAATTAAACCACATGATCCACTGTTGGTGTCAAGACCCGCCAAATCAATTCCATTTCTAGGTTGCCCTGATACTCTGGAGGCGACTTGTTTATATTTTAATAACAAGCAGTATTTAGGGTGAGGACTACATGAGTATCTAATTCATTTTGCTCCCCTCACTTTAGTAGTTCAATGTCAGTTATTTTATAGATTGAGTCTGTCGATTCTTGATATTCTAATCTATATCTATAGATATGATCCTTACATAGATTATTCTTCAATCTTCTATTTATAACTCTAATTTTTCATCTTACTACACTTAATGCCTATTCAATTCTTAGAATGCTATACCATCTGTGTTACCGCGGCTGCTGGCACAGATTTGGCCGGTATAAATAAATAGAAACTCATTCTGTATTCTATTTTACAACTAATAGTTGTTTTATTGACTGGGTCAATCTTTCGATCTTTGCCCAATATTCCTCACTGCTGCCAAAGGGTGGTCCTTCATTAAAAACCACTGTGGCTTATGCTAAAGATCATTGGCATGGTAGGCTATTACTCTACCATCTACCTAATCTTTTAGATTCATTGACTCTTATTGTTCTTACACTTTTTAGAGATTAATGGATCCTTTACTCACCTTTCTGCCTAAAAAATATTCGTATTTTCTTGACCAGCATGTGTTATGTCAATAAATTGCATTTCTAATGAGCCATGATCATACACTTTATTTCCTTTTTCGTTAAGTCTACAGACCTATTTCTTCTACTATCTTTTATATAATTTTTATCTTATTTTATTTATTTATTCCCTTTACCTTGATTTATAGTACTATTATCACTCCGAATTTCAGGTGAGGTTTAATTCAAAAAGGATCATATTAATAATTAAACTACATTATAGCTCTAGATAGTTTAGTTCTAAGAATAGCAGGAAAACTAATAGTTTGATGATACCAAATAATAAAACTAAATATAGCAAACATCCAGGATAGCTAATTTATCCACCATACTCCCATCATTTGTGGCATTTTTTTAAATATTGACTTAGGTTCCATTATATAAAAATTCTATTTATTATAACTCGATAACGAATTATACTAGATCAAATGTAAATAGAAATGGAGGCTAAAATAGAATATAAGCAATAGTAAATGGCTAAATATAAGACCAACCCAATTTAAGCTATTGATCAAATCTCTAACGAGCCTAAGATGCACGTACCCACAACATAAAAAATATCATTGGTAGAGCCATAGATACTCCAAAAAATAGTATAAAAAATAGAGTACATATTGTCTATATATTAGTATATTCTGCCTAAAAGAAAAATGCAAATGGTATAGAACTATATTCTGTCATAAATCCTGCTACTAGCTCGCTCTCAGCTTCTGGTAGATCAAAAGGAGCTCTATTAGTCTCAGCTATAGCACTAATTATATATAGAAATACCATAGGAAACTATGCATATGCTATACTAATATTACGTTGTGCATGAACAATTTCTAGTAGATCTATAGTACCCTAAGTAAATATTACACTCAAAGTAATCTAAGATAGACTTACAGAATAACTTATCATTTGACTAGTAGATCTCAAAGAACCTAGAAAAGGATATTTAGAGTTAGAAGACCAACCAGAATATATTACTCCATAAATTCCCTATTCAGAAATAGCTATCTAAATCTATATACCTCCACCCATAAGTTCAGATAGAGCTAGACCATAATCAAGAGGTAGAACCAACCAATTCTACAATGCCTAATAAAAAGTCTAAAATGGAGCTCCCTAAAATAGCTAATTAGAAGATTCTAGTGGAAGTACTGTTTCTTTCTATATTAGTTTTATTCCATCGGCAAATGGTTGTAGTAGCCCTAGATATCCCACTTTATTAGGACCTATTCTACGTTGCATAGCACCCATTACTTTACGTTCTGCCTAAGTCATCTATGCTACAGATAGTACTACTCCCAAAACAACAATAAGACTAGCAATCATAAAGAAAAATTTCATCTTAGGTACCTTTTAATAAATTCATTTTTTACTACTAACTATTGGAATAAGTCTAATCAAACTAATAAGTTAGATTACCCTAAGTAATTAGAATACCACCAACCAAACAAGTAAAACCAATAGCATAATAATAATTTATTTGTATTGGATAAGTATAACGTGGCATATCCTAATGTACAACTTTTATCTAAGAAAGATAATTAGCTGCACTAATAACAGAAGTAAGAATAGTAATAATAGAAATCCATACATAACCATTTTGCAATAGATTATTCTATACCTATAGTTTAGAATAAAATCCTGCCTAAGGAGGAAATCCAGCCATACTAAATAGAGTTATAGAAAATGCCTATCCTATAGCAGGATTCAATCTATAAATACCAGAAAGATCAGAAATAGTATCAATTTCATAATTAGGATTAGAAATTTTATAAGTCTAATTATATTGATGATTCTAAGTTATTATTAGACTAAATAGTATAAAAGTAGATAGAGTATAAATAAGAATATAAAATAGATAACTATTATTATTATTATATACCTATAGAATAAATCCCTAATTAGATATAGAACTATATGCCTAAAATCTTTTGATTTTCCATTGACTACCCTATCCTATACTACCAATAATAAGAGAAATAATAGCAAGAAATAGTATAATAGATTCAAGAGAAGAAAGAAGAAAAGCTATTTGAGAAATAAAAAATAGTACTCCTAGTTTTGGTATTATTATCATCCATATAGTTACAGAAGTTGGTAGATTATCATATAGATCAGGAGTCCAATTATGTAGAGGAGCTATACCCAATTTAAATACAAATGTTATCTACATAAGATAAAGAGGAATAGTCTAAATATCAATAGAATTAAATTCTTTCTAACTATTAATTATCATCATCTAACTCATATAATCTGTTTGACCTACTTGACTATATATTAGAGCTATAGACTATAGTAGAAAACTAGTAGTCAATGCACTAAGTAGAAAATATTTAATAGATGCAGACTAACTAGCTTGAGATTGAGAATTTATACTTACCTATAGATACTAAGATAGATTAAACTATTCCCAAGCTATAATAGTAATAATCCAATCAGTAGTAATCAACAAAGAAATCTATCCTATCTAATTAGATATAAATATAAAATATATTTCTGCTCTCTATTTATTATTCATTTCCTACTACTATATACTCTAACTTATACTAAATATTATTATAGAATATAGTGCTATTGTATTATCAAATAGAAGAGTTCCATCCTAAAAAACTATATTAGTTCCTATTGGTAGATATATCTACCAATGTATATAATTAAAAATTTCTAGTATCTAAACCTAATTTGTTACTCTTTGTATTGTAATAAGTCTTATTTGACTACGATTAGGTAGTATCTAAAAAGAAAAATAAATACTAGTCTATAGACCCAGTATAAGTATCATTAAATATAATATAAAAGAAGAATTAATATTTCTATAGATATTTATTCAGTAACTAATATTACTCAATTTTCTATTTATTTTTAATTTAAAATCTTTAGAGAAATTTCTCTCCATTTATTCTTCATCTCAAATTATTATTATTTTCTTCAATACCTTATCTTAGATATGGATGGAATTGAACCATCATCATAGCCATGACTCTATAGAGTCTTCTATCATTCTTACTATTGGGGACGGATAGAATCGAACTATCAAAGCCTGCACCCAAAACAGGAATTTTACCATTAAATTACGTCCCTTATAATAATTACATTCCAAACCTTAGGTGAAGTCACTATATTCTTCATTTCAAGTGAGATTGATTTTCATCTTTACTAAATTTAATCCTTCTGGATCAACGTAATTCTTCTTTTATTTAAATTTTTATATTATTTTATTTATATTATTTTTCTTCATAAATTATTTTAGCTAACTTTAGATGAAGATATATTACCACCAGAATGGACTTGAACCATTACACAGAGATCATGAATCTCTTATGCTACCTTTACATCACTGGTAAGAATTAATTGACGAATTAGCCATATCTTTAATAGTTAGACAGGTAATGAATGTGAAAATATAAGCTTGCTAGTAGGCTATCAAAACTTCCTAAGCTACAAATAGAGTCAATAGTAGAAGAGGAAGAGCCTAAACTAGAATACTAGTACCACTCAAATAACCAGCCCAAATAAAACCTACACTTACTTTAACAAGGATGTGACCAGTAGTCATATTAATGGCCAATCGCTAGCCAAGGGAAAGGATTTTAATCAAATAAGCCTAAATTTCCTAAGCCTACATTATTGGTACCTAACCCTAAGGAGTACCTGCAGGAATAAATGCAGCCAAAAGATACCAACCATGAGTCATAGCACCAATAATAAGAATACCAACCAACAAAGTAAAAGATAGAGATAGAGTCATTACTATTTCTACTGTTGGAGTACTACTATAAGGAATAAGACCCAAAAGATTACTAAATAGAATAAGATGAAATAGGGTATAAATCTAAGGAAAATATATAGTATATTTACGTCCTATTCCATTTTCTATCATAGACTATATAGTTCTATACAAAGATTCATTAATAATACCCCACCAATTTGCAATTATAAGATCATGATTATAGGCTATCATAATAGAAAGAAATCCAGCCATTAGTAGATAAAAAATCACATTATTAAGAGTTATATTCTAAGACTATAGAGAATATATTTCATATTGTTCCATAGGAGACATGTAATACATTATTACTTAATTTTACTTAGGTACCTATTTATTTCTTACCCTCGGTGAGACTTGAACTCACACGTCGTTAAACATTTGATTTAGAGTCAAACGGGTCTACCATTCCCCCACGAGGCTATTTATAACATTTATAGTCATCTCTTCTTCTAATTAATTTAATATCTTATTTTATTTATTTTCTTATTCTTAACTAATTCGTGATGAAATCAAAAAGAATCATAATAATAATAAATTAATCAACATTACTATCAAGGAAAGAAATATAATTAGGAATAGTTACAGCTTTTAGACCTATAGGCATAAAACCATGTAGAGCACCACACTATTCAGAACATTGACCATAATAAGTAGAAGGACGATTAATAACTACTCCAATAGAATTCTAACGACCTGGTAGAGCATCACATTTCTAAGCAAGAGAAGGAATAGCAAAAGAATGAATAACATCATTGGAACTAATCTAAATACGAATACTAGTATTTACTGGTAGTACCTAATAATTATCTACAGCCAATTGTCTTTGATCACCCTAATTCAAAGAACTTTCATCCTATAGAAAACTATCATAAGCAATAGCATTATCATAATCAGTGTATTCATAGCTCCAATACCATTGATTACCAATAGCTTTAACAGTAATTTCAGCATCAAGAATTTCATCCATCATATAAAGTAGTTTCTAACTTGGTAGACCTATAGCCCATAGAATACCAGCAGGAGTAATAGTCCAAATCAATTCAATCTAATTACCATGATGTAGATAAGATAGATGATCTTTATTAGTAATAGCACTAATCATAAACCAAGAAACAACAACCAAAATTATTAGTAGAAAGAAAATTATATGATCATGTAGATCAATTATAGCATACATCCAATTTGTTGCTGGATCTTGAAATCCAGTTTCATATTGCAATGGATAATCACAATTCAAATATTTAAACATTATATTTATAGTATTTTATTTAAGTCTCCTAATTCTTTATCTTACTATACTTCAGATTTTCTTCATTTGAGGGCGGTGGGACTCGAACCCACATAGCAATAAAGCACAGATTTACAGTCTGCTGTCTAGCCATTAGACTACACCCAAACTAAGTTCTATGAACCTCATCAAATATGACCGATAAGTCACTCTCACCAGAAGTTCGAAACTAATACGATCACTACTGGGATGACAGGACTCGAACCTATACTCATGGTACCAAAAACCATTGCCTTACCTTTTGGCTACATCCTCGTACCGAACTTCGTAGAGGAATGATTTTAACTTCATTAGAGATTCATAACGTAATTGAGGATGATCGGACTCGAACCGACATCACACATCCTGACAAGATGTTATTTTAACCATTAAACTACATCCTAAATTTATCATTCATCACGAATCTTACCTAGAGATTCTAAATTGTTACAAATCATGTTTAACATAAAAAGGCATATAGGAAAATTAGAGCCATCATCTAAGCAAATAGGCCTAGAGCTTCGGTTAGGGCAAAACCCTATACAGCAATGTTAAATAGTTCTTTACGCTAAGCTGGGTTACGACTAGTACCAGTAACCTAAGATCCAAAGATAATTCCTACTCCTGTGGCAGCACCAGCTAGAGCAATAGTAGCTAGACCAGCACCAATTAGTTTAGCAGCCATCTACATATTTTTAATATTAATTCTTTTCACTTGGTGAACCATTTATTCATAGTTCTTTATTTTCTTCTATTAACCTAAAGGGTCCTTTAATTTCTTTTTTATCTTATTTTATTTATTTTTACTATCATTCCTAACCTCTTGATTAAGTTTATTTAACTAGGGATCCAAACCTCTAGGTGAAGTTTTGATTTGAGGATGGACGGAATCGAACCATCATTATTGGTTTTGGAGACCAGTATTCTACCATTGAATTACATCCCTATTCGTCACAAGTTCCGAGCAAGGTGACATTTAGGTCACTTTCATTCTCGTGATTCTTTGAATCACCACAACCAACTCGTGTCACGAATAAATTATTAAACTATGTTATATCTTAGCGATCACTATCATTCCTAACCTCTTGGTTAGGTTATCGTATTATCTCTTACTATTTAATTAATTATATCTTATTTTAAGTATTATCTTATGATAAGACGATTAGATATTCAAATTATCATCATAGAGTCCATAGGACCGAGTCTCTGTAGGAGACTCCTATTCAATTTATACATCAGCTCCACCCCAGATATAATATACTACAAATACAAATAGCCATACTACATCAACCTAATGCCAATACCAAATAGCAAATAGTAGACCAATATGATGTTCAGTAGTAAAATGATCCTAATAAATACGTACCATACCTACAGCCTAGAATATTACTCCTACAATTACATGCAGAGCGTGCAATCCAGTAGTCATAAAGAAGGTAGTACCATAAATAGAATCAGCAATAGTAAAAGAACTATACAAATATTCATTAAATTGCTATACCTAGAAACAAATACCAAGAATTACGGTAAAGAATAGATTAATCTAAGCAATATTTTTATTACCCTAAATCTAAGCATGATGACCCTAAGTCTAAATAAAACCAGAAGCCTATAGAATACAAGTACCTACCTAAGGAAGACTCCAAGCATTAACAGCATCAACTCCTACTGGAGGCCATTGACAACCCAATTCAATAGCAGGAGCAAGACTAGAATGGAAGAAAGCCCAAAACATAGAAATAAACTACATAATTTCAGACTACTAAAACTACTAAAAACCTATCTACTATCCACGTTGTACTGTTGTTGTATGATAACCTCCTTTAGCTTCTCTTACTACATCTCTCCACCATAGTATAGATATCTACTATATAGCTGGTAGAAAAGTCTATGGATTTGTAGGATAATGACCCTACCAAGCTGCTACTCCAAAAGCAGTAGTAAATACACCAAAAGACATCTAAATTGGCCATGGAGATACATCAACCTAATGAAATGGATGTGGTTGTCTTGCAATAGAATTCATATTTTTTCATTTTCTCTACCTATATCAATCTCTTTCACTTAACTATCACTCTGAATCTCTAAGTAAGATTATTCATATAATCATGTTTATTCCAAGTGGTGAAACCTAAAGTTTCATGGGACTCCTTTAAGATTCTTCTTACATTGGAACTCAATACAACTTAGTTACTATTTTAATCTTTTATATTTAGAGCTCCTACATGATATTCATAAATAAAACCTATTGTTACTATTATCTAAAATATATTTACTAGCCAAAATCCCTACTAATTAGACATAGTAGACATTATAGTAGCTAGAGGGAACTAAAAGATAATTTCAAGGTCAAATATCTAATATAGTATTCCTACTACATAATATAGTATTTCAAATTTCATTCTTGCATCTCCTGTAGGTTCAAATCCACATTCATATGCAGAAAGTTTTTCTATCTAATTCATATTCATTGTTGTTATCCAAAAACTTGCCTAATATAGTACTCCTGTCTACTACAATAGTATAATACTCATCTATATAAAAGCCATCATAATTAAAAAAATTTTTATCTAACCTTCCTATCTTTTTTTTTCTCATTTTCGTACCGAGTACCTACATAGGTACTTGGGACAAGAGATTTAAATTTATTCTTATTGCTATCTTAGAGATCCACGATATGGATAATATCCTACCTACTAAGCTAGTCCTATGGCAGATTCAGCTCCAGCCTAAGGAAGTAGATAAAGAGTCAAATTAGAACCTATCTAATCATCCTAATTAAAAGATATATTTACCTATATTATTCCTATTGCCTATAGTATCTATTCTAGTATTATTAGCATAAGTACCTAATTATGACCTCCATTAAATATAAATGCAAATATAGCTATTATTATCTATGTTAGTCCTATATTTATTCCCTAACTATACATTATAAATTAATCTTTTCTATCCTACCTATTCTTCATTACTATATTCCGAATGATGACCTTTAAAGTCAGATTCAGTCACGATTTTAATTATTCTATTATTCCTATTATTCCTATCATTACTATCCACTAACTTATACCTATCTAAATCTATGCATAAATATTAGCTATATATACTACATAACCCTAAGTTTGAATATCTGTCATCATTTTATAATCTATTGCCCAATTTGGATATATATACATTATATCACTATAACCATAATTATAAGTTATTATACCCTATAGAAGACTAATAATAATACCAAAAATACTATACAAAATTTGAGATCCCCCTACTTTATTTATTCTATTTGGTTTACCCATTATTTGACCTCTTTCTACTTCATTTATTTGTACCATCATTATTACAAACTAAAACTATATTGCTATTGCTCCTACATATACTATTATATATGTCTATCCTAGAAAATAATTATCCTAGATCTAATACATAAAAGATCCACCCTAAAATACTAGTATCTAAATCTATACTCTATATACTACATCTATTTTACTTATTATTATAAAACTAGACTATATTATACTCATTCCTATTAGAGGATACAATATATTAATTAGACTATTCATATTTCTCTCTTTTTTCTTTCCTACCTTATTATCTTTCACCTCCCTCCTCCCTAATCTAACCTTAAAAGTCACGTGAATCTTAGGATTCACCATTCGGAATATTATTCATCACGAAATTCCGAGTGACTTAATCACGATTATATATTGTAATATTTACTTATTAATAGTGTAATATCTTATTATAAATAATAAATAATAATTAAAATAATATAAATTTATTTAATAAGAGAAGGAAGATATAATTTCGTCACGAGGTCACGAATAGTAAAAGGCTACTGAATGATGATTCAAATTCATCTATCTTCAAGAAGGATAATAAGGATTAATAAAGAGGGGTAAGGAGTAATAATTAATCTAGAAGAAAATAATTAGATAAAAATTTTTTATGTATTAGACTATTTTGATTCTTCCTCTACTAGGAGGTCTATAGGGAACTAATAGAAAATGTGGAGTAGTATAGGGTCCAATAATATCTACTATATGTATAAATTAGACAGCAATATAGTGTACTATAGCATTTATAGAAGTAGGTTAGAATGAAACACCAGTATCTATAAAATAGGGTAATTGGATGACAAGTTAGTATCTAAATATTGAATGGTGTTTTCTATTTGATAGTTAGACTGTATCTATGTAGCTACCAATAATATATGTATCTGCTTAGGTACAAATATATTCTTAGGGATATATGGATGGTGATCCTCATAAATCTAGATTTTTTTCTTATCTATCTCTATTCTCTTTCTTTATGTTGATTTAGGCTACTGGTGAAAATCTATAGGTTTAGTTCTAGGGTTGGGAAGGAGTAGGTTAGGCATCCTACCTTTAGATTAATTTCTGGTTCACTCGTATAGCAGCAAATATGGCAGCTATTAAAGCCTTTTAGTAGAATAGAGTAGGTGATACTGGTTAGTCTTAGAGTCTATAGCTAGGAATAGGATAGATGGGAGATATAAGTTTTTCTAGTATATTTTCTATGAGTTCTTATTAGAATAATGATCTAGTATAGATTTTTGTTATCTTTCTTATTATTGGTGCTATAGCTAAATCTGCTCAAATTGGTCTACATGCTTGGCTAGCTTCTGCTATGGAAGGTCCTACACCAGTATCTGCATAGATTCATGCGGCCACTATGGTAACAGCAGGAGTATATCTACTAATGAGATTTAGTCCATAGTAGGAATATTGTTCTACTGGTTAGATGATTATTACTTGGTTGGGAGGTCTATCTGCATAGTAGGGAGCATCTTGTGGTCTATAGGAAAATGATTAGAAAAAAATTATAGCTTTTTCTACTACTAGTCAATTGGGTTATATGATTGTAGCAGTAGGTTAGAGTCAATATAATTAGGCACTATTTCATCTTATTAATCATGCTTTCTTTAAAGCTCTATAGTTTCTATCTGCAGGTGCAGTAATTCATGCAGTAAGTGATAATCAAGATATAAGAAAAATGGGAGGTTTGATACTATAGTAGCCTAAAACTTATAGTGTAATGTAGTAGGGAAGTCTATCTTAGATGGCATTTCCATTTTAGACTGGATTTTATTCTAAAGATTTTCTATAGGAATTGGCTTTGATTCCTAGAAATATAACTAGTTCTATGGCTTATATATTTACTTTTTAGGCAGCAATATAGACAGCAACATATTCTTCTAGATAGATAATACTAACATTTATTTCTAAACCTCATTTTCCTAAAACTATGTAGAATACTATTGTAGATCCATCTTTTACTATGTCTTTTCCACTATAGATTTAGAGTTAGGGATCTGCATATTTTGGTTATTAGGCTCATGAACTATTCTAGGGTTTTGGTAGTACTTTTGGTTTTAGTGATAATGCTATTTTTATTCACCCTAATCATTTCGCTCTATAGGATGGTTCTATGTCTCCACCATCTTTTCTAAAATATCTTCCTCTATTTACTCTATTTATTCTATTTACTATTTAGCCAATTAGTTCTATATCTTCTAATTCTAATAATAGTAATAAAATAATTGAATCTAATAATAATATTATAAATCAATTTCAATTGAAATCTTCTCATAAATAGACTCAATATGCTACTATTATGAATCATTTTAATATTTATAATCATTGGACTATGTATCAAACTCTTAATCTATCTACTATACTTTCTACTTATATGGATAGAGGTATTATTGAATAGATAGGACCTATAGGTTAGGTAAGACTATTTCATTATTTTAGTTTTATATAGGAAACTTTTGCTACAGGATTTATACTACATTATGCTTTTATAATTATTTTTACTCCTTAGATTCTATTTGGTCTTTATTCTCTTATTGGTTCTGGTATAATGTTTAGTTATTAGATATAGATTATTATTACTATATTTCTTATTTAATTATAACTTCTAATCTCTAATGAAGTTCATATAAAATTCCTATTAGGGAAAATTAATTAATGTTATATATCACTCTTTATCTTTAGATAAGGTTTTATAGGATATAAATACATAAAAAAGGAAAAAGTAAATAAATTTAGAAATGGTGAATCCTAAGATTCACGTGACTTTTAAGGTCAGACTCAGTAGAATAGAGTTATAATTATCATATCCTAGTAATAAGATATTATGGGTAAGATAAAGGATTTATAAAGAGTAACAATAATTTTATTTTATAAATGATATAGATACTATATATTATACCAATTATAGCAATAATAACAATATAGCTATGGTGTAAAAAATCTCAAGAAATACTATTTGTAGCTTAGGGATTTTCTATTTAGAGTTAGATACAAACTAATTAGCTAGTACTAATGTATGATTCTAATACTCATACTATGCAATATGGATTTATGGGTAAAATAGGAATAGATGGAATATCTTAGTGGTAGATATGGTAGGTAAATATGTAGATGCCAATAATAATATAGAGTAGTTGGAAATCTATACCAATGACAACAAGTCTATGGAATAAGGAAGAAGATGTAAATAAAATATAGTAGCAAAATCAAAAACAATTTATTATACTATGTATTATGATTGGTTTTTGGTCTGTAGTAGTATTTACAGTAACAGATTAGTAGTAGTTTTATATAAGTTTTGAAGGAGTATAGATACCAATGGGTTATTAGATAACATTTTATGGAAGTCGTAATAGAAAAGTTCATGCATCTTATATGTTTTTTCTTTATACTTTTATTGGTTCTTAGTTTCTATTTCTAGCTTAGCTATCTTAGTATTAGGAATGTGGAACAATGGATTATCAAATAATAAAAACTATTCTTTTGAATCCTTCTAAACAATATATACTATGGTAGGCATTTTTTATATGTTTTGCAATTAAACAACCAATATATTTTGTACATCTATGGTTGACTCAAGCTCATGTTGAAGCTCCTACTCAAGCTTCTGTAATTTAGGCAGCAATTCAATAGAAATAGGGTAGTTATGGTTATCTAAGATATAATTAGGCTCTATTTCCTGATGTTAATGATTATTATAGACCTTTGGTTATGACTTAGTGTATATAGAGTATAATATATAGTTCTATAATAGTATAGTCTCAAATAGATATGAAACTTATTATTGCTTATAGTTCTATTGCTCATCAAGGTACTGGTACATAGGGTCTATTTAGTAATGATATAATAGGAATTCAATCTAGTATTTATTTTATGATTAGTCATGGTCTTATCTCTAGTGGTCTTTTCCTTCTTATTGGTGTACTATATGAACGTTATGGTACTCGTACAATAATGTATTATAGAGGTTAGGTACAAATTTATCCTATTTTTGTTACTCTATTCCTATTCTTTAGTCTTGCTAATGCTGCAGTTCCATTGACTTCTGGATTTATTGCTGAATTTTAGGCTCTATTGGGTGTATTCCATCTTAACCCTTTTATAGCTCTATTTGCAAGTTAGAGTATTATACTAGTACCTGCTTTTATGTTGAATCTATAGCATCGTATTAGTTATGGTAGTTAGACTCGTTATATTATTAGTACTTCTGATATAACTAAAAAAGAATTGAATATTTTTATTCCTCTTATCTTCTTTACTCTTTATTTTGGTATTAATCCTAATATTATCTTTGATACCATTCTATTGAATTCTATGGATTAGATTCATTTACATTATGATTAATATTTGAAATAACTTCATCTAGAATCCTAAGGGAAAGAAAATAAATAAAATAAGATAAATTTTAATTAAAAGTAAGAGTAAGGTAAATAAGTCAATAATATTATGACATGGATAAATAGATGGTAGTAGAGTACTAATGCAAAAGATATTGGAACCCTATATATAATATTTGGAGGTATGGCTGGACTAATAGGTAGTGCATAGTCTTTTTAGATAAGACTAGAACTATCTGGAGGAGGAAAAGTATATTAGATGGGATCTCATGAACAATATAATGTAATAATAACTGCTCATGCAATAGTAATGATCTTTTTTATGGTAATGCCAGCTTAGATAGGAGGATTTGGTAATTGGTTGTAGCCAGTAATGATAGGATCCCCAGATATGGCATTTCCTAGATAGAATAATATAAGTTTTTGGCTACTACCTCCATCTTTTTAGTTGTTGACTACTGGTCTTTTTGCTGGTGGTGCAGCTACAGGTTGGACAGTATATCCACCTCTATCTGATACTCCTTATCAATAGGGTTCTGCAGTAGATTAGTCTATATAGAGTCTTCATGTAGCAGGTTTTTCTAGTTAGATGGGAGCTATAAACATTATTACTACTACTATTAATATGCGTGCTCCTGGTATGAGTATGTCTTCTATGCCATAGTTTGTATGGTCTGTATTTATTACTGCTTGGCTACTTCTATTGTCTTAGCCAGTTTAGGCAGGAGCTCTAACTATGTAGTAGACAGATAGAAATCTTAATACTGGTTTCTTTGATTCTGCTAGTGGTGGTGATCCAATTCTATACCAACATCTGTTCTACCAAGAAATTATATTTATATGTATGTTTATGGGACTATTTCTTTTTAGTACTACTATATCTATATTTAATAAGGAAGTAGATTTAAAACGAAGTATGAAAGTGTTATGAATAAAAAAGCTCCTAATGATGATTTTCTTCAATGGTTGGTAGGTTTTACTGAAGGAGATGGGTGTTTTCTTGTAACAGCTAAAGGAGGTTAGTCTTTTATATAGACTCAGAGTGAAAATAATATAGGTTTGCTACATAATATTCAAGCTAAATAGGGATTTAGAAGAGTTATTAGACAAGGTACTACTACATGGAGATTTATAGTAGAAAGATTGGATCATTAGGAATTGATTATACTTCTATTTAATGGTAATATGGTTTTTCCTACTCGTGAAGCTAGATTCAAAGAATTCTTTGATGCTTATATAGCTAAAGCCAATAGTAATATCAAATATAATCCTAATCTAGTATAGGTATCTCTTCAATCTGCATGGCTACTAGGTTTTACTGAAGCTGAAGGATGTTTTACTATATCTTTTCTTAATACTAGTATAGCTTATAAAACTAGATTTATGCTAAGTCAAAAACACAAAGCTAACTTGGTTGTATTTAATACTTTGTAGAAACTATTTAACACTGGTAAAATTAAACTTCATAGTACTGGTGATGGTAATTATGAATTTATTATCTCTGCTCTTAAAAATGTTATATTGATCTATCCTTATTTTGATTCTTATTAGTATCTATTTCAAGGCATTAAAAAAGATAGTTATCAGAAATTTAAAGCTCTTAACTCTCGTATTGCTAATAAAGAACATCTAATACCTAAACTACGTATAGAACTAAAAGAAGAAGCTCGTAAAATTAATCCTTTCTCTAGAGGTAATAAATGAAATTCAATTTTAGTTCTAAATATAATGATTACTGGAACACAGGTATCGTGTTAATTAAGGTGAACACTTTATCTAATCTTAATTTATATAACTAATTAAGGTGACATTTCTGTTAACGGTAAATAAATTTTTAAATACCGTCAATTCTATTAAATTGCTACAGATTAGATCAGAAATGGGTAAGTTAATACTTGCTTAATGTATAATCGAATAATATCTCTTTATCAATCATTATTATGGTTCTGAGTCTCAGGTGAAAAATTTAGAGATAGATTGGGTTTTTTGGACATCCAGAAGTATATATTCTAATTCTACCAGGATTTGGTATTGTATCTCATATTATTCCTCGTTTCGTTGTTAAACCAATTTTTGGTTATCTTGGTATGGTTTATGCTATGTTGAGTATTGGTCTACTAGGTTTTATTGTATGGAGCCATCATATGTACTTGGTTGGTCTTGATGTTGATACTCGTGCTTATTTTACTGCTGCTACTCAAATTATAGCTTAGCCTACTGGTATTAAAATTTTCTCTTGGTTGGGTACTATTTATGGTGGTAAAGCTCATTATTATACTCCATATCTTTATACTCTACTATTTATTGTATTGTTTACTTTTGGTGGATTTACTGGTGTTATGCTTTCTAATGCTAGTCTTGATGTTGCTCTACATGATACCTACTATGTTGTAGCTCACTTCCATTATGTACTATCTTAGGGAGCTGTAGTTAGTATTATTGCTGGTTTCTATTTCTGGATCGGAAAAATCAGTGGATATCATTACAGTGAAAAATGGGGTTAGATTCATCTTATTACCTTTACTTTGGCTGTTAATTTGGTCTTTATGCCTATGCATTGGTAGGGTCTTGCTGGTATGCCAAGAAGAATACCAGATTATCCAGATGGATATATAGGTTGGAACTCTATGATCTCTCTAGGTTCTTTCCTAACTTTTATTTCTTAGATAATTTTCCTTTATGTTGTAGGTGTTACTGTATTCAATCCACGTACTCAAGAAGTTAATAATAAACTAACTACTCGTTGGGTAAATATATAAGAAACTTTAATGTATTCTTTAAGATTAAATTTTGATCTCTCAGAACCTTATTACTATTTCACTTCGTGGATTCCTCTATGAAGTTCGGAACGAGATGTAGCTCAATGGTAGAGCAGCTGGCTTTTAACCAGTTGGTTGTGGGTTCAAATCCTATCATCTTCATGATTTATAAGGAAAGAAAGAAAATAAATAAAATAAGATAAAAATTAAATTAAGAAATAGTTCAATAAAAATATAAAGACTAAAATATTAATATAATAATGAAAATTACTAAAAAAAATCCTTTTCTAGCTATAGTTAATAATTTCCTTATTGATTCTCCTGCAGCTAGTAATTAGACTTATTTTTGGAGTTTTGGTTCTCTATTGGGACTAAATTTGGTTTAGATGATTATTACTGGAATTCTACTTGCTATGCACTATGTACCAAATACTTAGATGGCATTTAATAGTGTAGAACACATTACTCGTGATATTAATAATGGTTGGCTATAGAGATTTATGCATGCTAATGGAGCTTCTTTCTTTTTCTTCTGGGTATATTAGCATATTGCTCGTGGTCTTTATTATGGAAGTTATCGTAGTCCTCGTGGAATGTAGTGGGCTTAGGGAGTAATTATTTTTATCTGTATGATGGCTACTGCATTTATTGGTTATGTCTAGCCTTGGGGTAAAAAGGCCCTATAAAAAGAAGTCAAATGAAAAATCGAAGGATTAGATAATGATTTAGTCACGAATTTGATTTGGCAATACTAATATTAACGATTAAAGAATTCACTCCGAATCTCGGGTGAGGTAATTCTAAGATCGTCAGAATTCTTATAATTCTGCTACAGACTGGTTTATTAGTAGGAGAACAAAGTCCATAGGGCTTTCTCTTTTAATGTACAGTCGAAATATAATTATTTGCAAATGAGTTAGTGGGGAGCTACTGTAATTACTAATCTACTATCTGCTATACCATGGATAGGACCAGATCTAGTAAATCTAATTTGGGGAGGTTATAGTGTAGAAAATCCTACATAGAATCGTTTTTTCTCTCTACATTATTTGATGCCTTTTGTTATTGCTGCACTAGCTATGATGCATTAGATAGCACTACATGAAGATGGATCTAATAATCCAGAAGGTATTTCTAGTAGTACTGATAAATTGAGATTTCATCCTTATTATACTAGTAAAGATTAGGTAGGATTTTTTATTTTTGCTATTTAGATTAGTTATTTCGTTTTCTTCTATCCTAATTATTTGGGTCATCCTGATAATAGTATTCCTGGTAATCCTTAGGTTACTCCTCATCATGTAGTACCTGAATGGTATTTTTAGCCTTTCTATGCTATTCTACGTTCTATTCCTAATAAACTATAGGGAGTAATAGCTATGTTTGGAGCTCTATAGATTCTATTTCCATAGACTTAGTAGAGTACAAATATTAGAAGTAATAGATATCGTCCTATTTTGCATATTCTTTTCTGGTTGTTTGCTGCTAATTTCCTATTCCTAATGTGGGTAGGTGGTAAACCAGCTGAAGAACCATATGTATTCTAGGCATTTATTGGTACTCTATTGTATTTCATTTATTTCATTATTATTATGATTATTGGCTGTATTTATATTAACCTCATCTCGTGCCGAGTCCCTACGTAGGTACTTGGGACAAGAGATTCGAAATAATAGTGATAACTAGAATCGTGATTGAGTCACATGACTCTATGGGTTAACTTCACCAAGGGGTTCGGAATGTAGTGACATTAGATGGAAGAAGATGGAGAAATAAATAAATAAAATAAGATAAAAATTTCCATAAAGGAAAGATAAAAAAGGGGGGAAGATAGCTTAAAAAGGGCTCCATATGAATGACTAGTTTACTAATATATGGAAGTTTAAATACTAAATAATAAGATAATAAGAAACTTTATAGGTTTCTGAAAGTTATATCCATAGATGAAAATCAAATATAATTAACTAGTGAATTGACATATCTAAGTAACTAGTGAAAGAAAGGGAAAACCAAACTATCAAAGTAATGACGAATGAAAAGATAAAAGTGAAGGAACTCTTCTAAGGAGTTCTTAAAAGTAAGCTAAAAGTGTGTAAAATACATTAGCTAAGTTAAATTAGTAAACGATAGAGAATAGTACCGAGAGGGAAAGTTGAATAAAGAACCTTAAATAAGGAGTGAAATAGAACCTGAAATAAGGAGTCCATAAAGATAGAAGAGAGAAATATCTTAACTATTTACCTATTGCATAATGGGTCAGCGAGTTAATAATGGGGAGCAAGATAGAAGTCGAGTGAAAACCAGAAAGTTCCAATTATTAGACCCGAATCCAAGTGATCTAACTATGATCAGGTATATAGACCGAACCTGTGGATGTAGCAATATTCTAGGATGAATTGTGGTTAGTGGTGAAATGCTTATCGAACTTGGAGATAGCTGGTTTATCGCGAAAACTATGGTAGTAGTTAGATTATATAAATATTATTCCAGTATAGCACCCTTTTAGAAGGAACTCATAAAGGGAAAAATTATATTATAATCTGTCAGGAGATAACCGAGAAGGGTTATTTTCAAGAGAGAAACACCTCCATCTATAGATTAAAGTTCCTAAATATAACTAAGTGAATATAAGACAATAAGCTGGATAAGAACTTCCTAATGTATGCTTGGTAGAAGCAATCCTTAAGAGAGTGGGTAACACCACAAGGAAGGAGCATAAATAAATGCGAAAAAGAAATTTTTTAGGTGATTATCATTTGTCGTCAATATTAGGATCTAATGTTATATACTTTAGTCATGGCAAAATTTTTTTTAATTTTGGGTAGCGATACGAGAAAGGTATAATACCTTTTTTTGATAATGCTGACATGAGTAACGATAAAGATAGTAAAATCTATCTGCCTTAAATTCCAAGGTTTTCGACGAAAGTTTTAAACACGTTAGAGTAGGATGGTTTCTAACCTAAAGAAGGGGATGAATAATGTTAGAAGGTACTTAAAGGTACTTTTGATAAACAGGAAAATTTTTTACCATACTAATAACCGACACTGGTGGAAAGGGATTAATAATCCTAAGGGCTACAGTAAACCATTTTGAAGGAACTCGGCAAATAGAAAGGCGACTGTTCACCTTAAACACAAGACTTAGCTAACATATTATGTATGTATTAGGTCTGTCATCTGCCCTATGCTAGTAAGTGAAAAAAGAAGGGGATAAAACTTTTCTTTATAATCTCTAGTCAATGGCAGCTGTAACTCTAACGGTTCTAAGGTAGCGAAATTCCTCGGCGTCTAATTAGCGTCCCGCATGAATGGTGGAACGATCTTTCAACTGTCTCCAAAATGGACTGTGTGAAATTATAATTCCAGTGCAGATACTGGTAACTCTCAGCTACACGGGAAGACCCCATGCAGCTTTACTGTTACGAATTGACTATTAAAGCGATTCATAGACAGTTTGACTGGGGCGGTCGCCTTCTAAAAAGTAACGAAGGCCTACAAAGGTAAGTTTATACGGTAATAATTGTAATGGATTATACTTGCTTGATAGATAGGTATACAAACCTTTCTGGGACTAGATTTTGGTGAATCCTAAAGATTCACGATTATTCTTTATGAAGAATGAATCTTGTCTGTCATAGTGATCCGAGGAGATTTTTCTCTTCGCTTAAGGAATCAAAGCTACGCTGGGGATAACAGGCTAGTTTAGGGTTGGAGTCCATATCTTACCCTAAGTTCGGCACCTCGATGTCGACTCTTCCTATCCTGGGGCTGAAAGAGGTCCCAAGGGTGCGGCTGTTCTCCGCATAAAAGGGAACGTGAGTTGGGTTAAGTACGTCGTGAGACAGTACGGACCCTATGTACTGAGAGATTAGTAAAATACAAATCGAGCGTCACGGTACGAGAGGACCTGACTATATGAACCAATGGTGATATTGAATTAAGATTCTTTCCTAGTTCTTTCTTAGCTAAGTTCATCCTAGTTAACTCCTGAATCCATCTTAAGGAGGAAACACGGTTTATTTCAAGTTTTACTTATTTAATCGAAAGGTAGACTACCTTTTAATAGAAGATTCATAAAAATCTTCCTTAAAGCATTTGCTTTCAATTTACAGCTATCTTCCTTATATTTAGATTTTTTATATAATAATATCACTTTCCATGATTTATCCTTCCTAAACTTTCTTATCTTGTCCCAAGTGCCTTCATTTAGAACTCGGCACGATTCAATTCCCCGAGAAACTCGATTCGACCCTTTATACTATCCTTCGGTATCTTATTACTCCATAGACCATATTATTCAATCACAATTTACTCTATATACTCTATAATATTAACGTCACTACATTACAAACCCCTTGGTGAGGTTCTTGAGCGATCGCTATCACTCCGAATCTCTAGGTGAGGTTTTATTCATTCGGATTTCTATTCAGTTCATCCTCATTCATATCTTACTTATTTATCACTCTCTACTACATTCCGAATCTCTAGGTGAAGTTTCTCTCTCTCCTTCCCTTTACTATTTAG